GAAGATAGATATTTGAAACAGAAGATGTCAGATTGGATCTAATTTTTGAATAAATGTATTATTTCTGTTTCAACTTAGTGGTTAAGACTTGTACATGAAGTGGTCCATATCATTGTTTCCAAAGCGTAATCAACTACAGCAAATCTTCTATAATAAAAAAAGGTTGCAAAGGTGGGTACAAACTGATTATTTCAGGATTTGCACCCAAAATGTGTGGCTACGCAGTGACCAAAGGTACAGTTTAAAAGGAAGTAGAAATGGACTCTGGGCCTTTGTGATCTGCTGAAAGGAGGGGAGCACTGGAATCTACTGGACTTGCAGCAGATCAAAACTGGAACATCCACATAAACAGAAACTAGAGAAGAGCCCCCTCCACAGGCCAGGACTATTCTTGCCTCAAACTTCAAGAAAGAGGGCAACGTGTGCGTTTTACTCGCATCGTTTTATTTTGTCTTTACTTGGATGGAAGGTGTCACAAACTGCCTACTGAAGTGTTTGTGACTTCATTTGACAACTTTAAAAGTTAGCTTTCAAACTTGTCCTGTCAAATTCAGGGTAAATTCTTCACCCAAATAAGTACATTTTTGTTATTTGCTTTTTTTAATGCACAACAGCAGTTTTCTGAAAACAAGCAAATGGCATAAAACACAAATACTTCTCCTAGTTATAAAACTATAAATGTAACCTTAAAAAACTGGGTTGTACTCAGATCACGTTGTGTTTCTAATCATTTATTCTTTTCCATTTCTGCTCAAACTTTCCTTATCAGACKCAAATCTAAATATGAGGTTATTACTTTCACTCATATTCAGCCTATTAGTTGATTTGATTGACGTTTCCTGCACTGCACTCAGACTGAATATCACTTCCTGTCACTCTACGCTTCTTCACTTTCACACTTTAGTTGATATAGGGCTGATTTTAAAAAGCGTCTTTATGTCTAGATTGTTCATTTTCCTTTAGATAATAAAAGTGCAGTCTTACCAGTAGATGTTTCTGCAGGCGCTCGTTCTTCTCGGCCTCGGTCATGCGCTCCTCCTCGCTGCGGTCCTTGTAGGTGGCGGCCGCCGTGAACTCGGCGCTGGCCTCAGCGCTGCTCTCGTCGTTCTCGTCGTGCTCGTTCTCCGTGTTGACGGGCTCCTGGACCGTCATCACTTTGTTCTTAAGCTCTTCTTTGGTTTTCTCCAGGTCCTCCTGCACCATGGTCGCCTGAGGAAACCAAGAAGGACAAAGAGTTAGTGTATGTGTGTTAAACAGACAGGACTGATCTTTTAACGTTAGCTTTTAGTAGTTTTTTTAGCCCAACAAATACTTATTTACCATCACATTATAAAATAAATCCTTCAAATTCTAATACAACAAACTAAACAATTAATTCATAATATTTACTATTTTTCTACCTGATATTTTTAAAGTTATGGTAGCAGCACAAGAATTTGAGTGTCCATAGAATAATGTGGATGCTCATTCCTCACCACTAGGTGGCAGCAGAGTTCAGGAAACTATTTTTATTTTTGCAACTACAAATAATTACCCAACATGCACAATAGACACAAAAATAATAGAATAAAGGATGTAAAAATAATAAATGTCTTTAATTGTCTTCTGCAACTATTTATAAAAAAATAGAAATGTATTTTCAGCAACACTAAAAATGCTGAAAGGGAGAAATTCTGTTTAAGTTTTTATTTTCATCAGAAGAGCTAAGAAAGGAAGTCCAGGAGGAAACAGTCGAGGTTAGACGTGCCCAGCAGTTGGTGCTGGTTGTGTTTCCCTCCTCTCTGTGAGATGTTTTACAGACTGTGCTGCTGATACCTCCCTTCTAATGAGCAGTCCTCAGTAAACAGAAAGAATAATAACAGAGCAGACCTTTTGTTGCCACTCTGTAGCCTCTTCCTCCTTCTTCTTCTTAGCATCCTCCAGCAGGGAAATCTTTGAAGTCAGGTCAGCCAACTCAGTGGCCTGAAATGGTTAAATATATACATTTAGTGGACTTGATATTAAAATAAATGTAGAAAACGTTACAAACTAAACTGTATCGTGTGTTTATGATTAGTAAGCATGGAAAGCTCACCAGGTGTTCCTGGTTCTTCATCTGGTTCTCTGACTGCTGCAGCAGAGCCATCTTCGCGTCCTCGGCGCTCTTCAGCTCAGACTCCAGACGCTCAGCCTCCTCATGAGCTCGCTTCCTCTCCAGCTCCAGCTCCAGCGCCCTGTGGGTCTGCTCCTCCAGCTCTGCAAAACGCACACGGTGCACCGTCACGCGCTCGGACTGACCGCAGCCCGACAACGAGCCTCGCTGCCATTCAGAGGAGTTCACCCACCTTGCTGGGCTTTTTTCGTCTGCTCCTCGATCTGCTTTAACCGCTCCATCAGATCCTCCTTCTCCTTCTCGATCTTCTCCTTCTCTTTTTCCGCGAGTTCTCGTTTCCTCTTCTCGTTCTCCAGCAGAGCTCTGATGGAAACAAGAAAAGACGACTTGGATTAATCACAACAAGCTCGTCTGCAGTATCTGACAGCGCCACGCTGCGTCACCCGATCCAAAAGTTCAAAACCTGCACGCAGTCACCTYTCCATCTTTTTGTGGTTCTTCTCCTCCCGAGCCTGAGCCTTCATCTGCTGCACCTCGATGGTGTCGGGCTTGCGGCGGCGCATGTACAGCTCGTGGTTGCCCATGCACAGAGCCAGGATGCGCTTGTTGATGCGCAGTCTCGGGGCGTAGAACACAAAGTCCTACAGGTTCAGCATTGGGAGATTTTCAAGTTTTATGACGAGAAAGGACAACTTAACGTTGGTCTAATCTCTTAAATGACATTAAAGACGTGCTCTCTCTCAGACTGTGTGTTCAGGATGAGTCTCAGTTACTACCACATCCAGTTTTAGCTCAATATCTGTAAAAAATGACTGAGTTGTAACTATTTTTGTGTTGGCTAATTAAATTAATTAATTAATTAATTAATTAATTAAATGTGGTGGCCATCTTGGAAGGACCTGACTCCAAAAGTTAATCAGTTGTAGATGTACATCCAATGACAACATCCTGAGAATTAAATTTTAATTCATCCAGTGGTTCATAAGATATTTTGCTAACAGATGAATGAACGCACACAAATACGTTTGGCAATAAGCATACAAAGAAAAAAATCTTAAATGGTGACTTTTACATACAGGTGCTTTCTTGTCGATCGGTTTGATGACAAACTTCTTGTCGTTGAAGGAAATGTTCCTTATTTCACTCCAGGGAAATCCGATTTTGGGAGTCATTCTGTGGGAAACAACATAAAGTCGTGATCACCTCTGAATGTAACACTGCAGCCATGATTCAAAACAAATGACACGTGTCGGATCACTCACTTGTCGTTCTGCTCGTAAATGTTGAGGCCGAGAGCGTCGACGCCGAGGAACAGCTCTGTTCCTTTCTTGTTCTTGATGTTGAAGTAGTTGACGCCGTACATCTCCAGGTCCTGCGCGATCTTCAGATACTCCATCATGGACTCCTCCCTGTGGGACGAACCAGAGGAGTCGCGTTTCAGAAAATCGCTGAGGAGGGAGCGGAGGACTGACGAGTCTGAGGGCTTAGTTTCTGCCTCTGTCTGACCACCAGCACCACAGAGAAGTCATCGAAACTCTGAACTCACATAAACAACAAAAAAAGCCACAGAGCTAAAAGGAAAACTCATTTATAAAGAAGAAGAGTATATTTAACTCGTGATAAGAATCACACTTCAGTGAGTGTTTTAACTAAAAAGGGTAAGAAATAACATTTAGTATATATATGAGATTTTTGTGCAACGGCAGAAAAATACTAATAAGTGAAGAATCACCCGACGCCTTTCATGAGGGTCAACTAAAATCATTTAACAGGCATGTRGCCGTTTTGGTCAAAGCTTGTAAATGACATTATGTTAGTGCTTCAGCTACTACCAGAGTTTTAATGTAACTAAGTACAAATACTTTGTTACTGTACTTAAGTAGAAATTTTGGTTATCTGTACTTTACTTGCGTAATTATTTTCAGCCTACTTTTTACTTCTACTCCTTATATTTTATACAGTTATCTGTACTTTTCACTCCTTACATTTTTTTAAAATGTAACAAGTTGAAAGTCATTTCTCTTATTTCATTTCATTGTGTTGTTGTTTAAAAAGATACTATCCTGAAAAATTGTGGCTCCTGGATAGAGTGGATTTAATTATGGCTGGATGAAAAGTATAAATACATATAATTCTGATACTGTATTTTGTTTGTACACAAGCCATCAAAGCTGCATCCCTTTGCCTTTATTGCATCCCAATAAATGTATTTTGGAAAATCTAACTGTTCATTTTTACTCAGTACTTTTACTTTTATTAAGTATATTTTATGTCAGAAATTTACTTTTGATACTTAAGTACAAAATAAATCAGATACTTTAAGACTTTTACTCAAGTAATATACTTAGAGGAGACTTTAACTTTTACCAAAGTAATTTTATGATATGATACTTGAACTTTTACTCAAGTATCACTTTCAGGTACTTTATACAACACTGGCTACTACCATACCAAATTTTATCTCAATATTTGTTCAAATGCCTTATGTAGAGCCAATTTAGTTTTTTGCTGTGACAACCACAATGTATCAGACTGTAGATGCTCAACTCCTGATTTGTTTTGCAGTTTTATTAAAATCCATCTAGTATTTCATGAGATATTTTGCTAACAGACACAAAGTTGACTCMAACTGTTACTSACAGATTTAAGCAATCATGTGGAATATGAAGTGGCTTAAAGTGCGTCTTGTGRATGAATCAGGTAAATATTTTAGCTCACTATTTGTAAAACTGAATTGTGGATTTTTGTTTGTTTTTTAATTATCTATGGTGGCCATCTTGAATTGTGTGAATTCTAAAAGGTAATCAGTTATAGATWTATAGCCAGTGATTACTTTCAGAAAGTTTAATTAAAATCCCTTCAGTAGTTCATAAGATATTTTGCTAACATACAATGTAAGTATGGCAGCTAAAGGCAATTTTTTTGGGAACAGCTATAGTGGCATCTGTTAGTGCTTGGAATATTATTTGGGTTTGACTCTCAGCTACTACCATACTAAATCTTAGCTCAGTTTCAGTAAAACTAACTTCATTAAAGTAAATTTTGTGTTTGCTAAGCTTGCTTAGCTGTGGCAGCCATGTGTCGCTTCCAAAGGTTAATCAGCTGTAGATGAATATTAGACGATTATTTTCTGAAAGTGTCAATAAAATATGTCAAGTGTTTCATCTGTTATTTTGCTAACAGACAGACCAAACAGGTGACAACAGGTGAACTCACCTCATCATGCCTTTGTGTTCTTCGTGCCACACTTGAATCCTCTCCTCCCACTGCTCCTTGTTGAGCTTGTGCTGATCCAGAACTCTGGAAACATGAGAGGACAGAGCACACTCAGGTTAACGTCGAAGGAAAAGTAAAAAGTAAAAAAAATAAATACATTTTWAAAAAAGCTGGCGTTACCTCTGAGGGAGCAGGTTTTCTCCGCTCAGATAGCCCGGCGTGTGCACCTCCTTGTTGTAGTCGCCGAACTTGGCCTGCACGGCGTAGGAGGCCAGCAGCACGGCGGTCTCCGGAGGGCAGTAGATGTCGTCGTTCAGGATCGCCTCCTTCACCTGCAGGAAGAACAGCCGCTGCGTGGCTTCCTGGATCARCTCCTCGGAAACGTCCTCGGGGAAGAACTTGGCACGGAATTTAAAGAGCAGAGGGCTTTCCTTCCTCACATCCTGGGCTGTCACCTAACAGAAAAATGTGGCACAAGTGAGGGGCGGAGCTCCAAATCTGAAACACATTCTTTTTATTGTCCTGATGCATCTCAGTAATCCAGGTAGAAAAATCTATCKTTTTGATTCTTTTTATTATTATTGTTAAACGGTTTTATCCTGACAAAGAGCTAACGATGGGCGGAGAACAAATATGATGAAGAGCCCACCTTCTTATTGAGCTTCAGCCATGTAGAGAAMCCCTTCGTGTCCTGGTACTGGAGCCCAAAATACCAGACCTCGCGCAGTCCGATGGTTTTTACAACCTGAAAAGACAAAGAAGTTGTTTAAAGAACTTTAAGTAAGAGTTACTGAAATACCTCAGGGTGACGTAATGGTTCTGTGGTGAGGAGGTTTTCTGTTGGAATCTTGGCCGGTGATTCCCTGATTCTGGCTTTAGATTTTTTTTCTGTGCCCGTTTGTATTTTCTCCAAACGATCCAGTTTCCTCCCACACCTAAAAGTTTATGATTTTCTACAGCTTGTTGGTGAATGTTCCTGTTTCTCTGTATGCTTTGTGTTTCTGCGTACTTTTAACTTTAAGTCTTTTAGCTAACACTTTTCTACTTTAGACTTTAGCTATTGCTACTTTTAATCTCTTTTAGCTTGTGTATCGCTTCGTTTAGCATTTTGCTGCTTTTAACTAGCATTTTGTTACTTTTGGCTTTCAGTTAGCTTTTTCTTGTCATTCAACTTTCACAGACATTTTACAGAAAATGCCAGTTCTCGGTCTGTACGTGGGCCCTGTGACAGACTGCTGGCCTGTTTGGGTGGACCCCGTCTGTCAAACACTCCCCCCCAGAATAAAGAGGGTATAAAGAAGAGACAGAGGGCAGCTTCTAGCTGTGGTTTAACCTTTCTCCTGAAAACATTTCAGACCTTCTGATCTGGTATGTCACATTTAGACCACAGAGATCCACGAACAGACACTGCTGGTTACTATTGCTCAGTTTTAGAGAAACATAAGCGAAGGGAAAAATATTGAAGGTATATCATCAGCACATTTTACTGCTCCAGCTTTTGTTTTTTACTGAAGTAGCTGTAAATAAAACTGGTGGCATAAATTCAACAAATGGTCGTTTATGTTTTGTGGTGTGAATTTTAAGAAGCTACAACCTTGATTCTTATAAAGTTGAGTTTAATTTGTACAAAACCCACCAATCATTGATCAATATTGAACTGCATGTGACACGCCCCCCCTTGCTACAGGAAAGGCCCGGCCCTTCCTCAAACAAACTTGTTCAGGAGGGACGTCTCTCCTACCTGGTCGAAGAGCTGCTTTCCTGTCGTGTTGGGCTGAATGGCGAACTCCAGCTCAGCATCCATTGTGGTGACTCTGACGCTAATCTGAGGAACAGAGAGAACRGGAAAAAAATCCAACATTAACACAGACAGGCAGATAGTGCTCCGGATACAATCTGTGCTTTTTAAGCTGGAAAGTATGTACACTGAACAAGTGCTTTGATTAGAAATGACAGATTTTTGCTTAAGTTGTCACTATTAACAGTCTATTTAAAGCTTTAGTCAACAATACATGTAGGGTGAAATAAAAATGATGAGTGCAAGACTGCATATTCAATCAGTGAACAACGCTCCTATTGTCACATTGTTTTCATGGGTTAAATTTTGACAAAAAGGGAATCAGAAATGCCCTAAAGACACTTCCCCATGGCTCCACACCGTGCTTTTTTAAAAACGGTGCCAATCTGCCTCGGCCCGAGTACAGAACTTTATCTACAGGAAGTAGCCACATCCTCTGGAGGCTGGGCCTTGCGAGGCGAGACGGCTAAACGGCGCTCTCTCATGAGAGCCGTCTACATCCTGTCATGAATCAAGAAAAACCTGCACGCTGCTCAACTTTGCTCTGTGGTGGATTTGTGAACGAAACTGAAAAAATTCGGGTTGATTTTTCTCTTCAGGCAGCCTCGCCAGTTCGTTACAGCTGCTCATTTAACCAAAGAGGCCTTTGTCACCAACCCTATTGTGCAAACCTATTTATCAGAAGTTGAAAGCCTTTTTATTTAACCTTTCATTCTCAGTCAAAGAGGTTACCCAGAGTTAAACGGGATCTTGTGGTCGGGAAGATGACTGGGCAGGAATCTCCCACTTTCGCTCCGTTAAGAGGTGATGCAAACAGCGGCACTCATGCCTGTCGGGAAATAACTGCAGGCAGAGGCCCACGCCTGCCTTCACTAACAATGCTTTGCATTATCTCCCAGTAGAGGGGCTGAGAGAGCCGCGTTCTTTCCCATCCTTGTCAGCAGAACCTCATTTAAAGCCCAGGATCTCCTCTCTGTCACTTCCTGTCGCCCCCAGCAGACAGGAGTCCGGCAGAGCTAAATGTATTTTTGAATTTAGGCGCAACCTTTGAACTGGGAGGAACTTTTTTTTAAATCTTTTTGTATGTGTGCACAGAAAGAATACAGCTCACCACCACCCCGCCTGTGATTAAGCGGTTTCATTTCCGGAGTCAGAATAGTTCATCTTGCATGAAAAGGGAACTGTGCTTCTCGATTTTCTGCCTGGTTTGGGTGTGTCTCTCACAGCCAGAACTCAAAAGCCCTTCAGGAGCTATTTTTAGTACACAGCAAAAAAACACCGCTCTCAGGCGTACATGACAAGTTTCCATGACTTTGTATCAACGTTTTATAAGAGCTCAACATAAACATGGTTCAACAGGTGCTCATTAGAACATTTCCATTTGTTCTTTTGTGACTATTTGATAAATATTGGTTTGCCTTCAAATATACAGTAACTAAAATATGGTCAAAACATAAAGGAGAAAATGATTTAGTATAGAAGATTAAAATGCAAATAAATATTTTCCCTAAAATGTAAAGTCTGATTCTAGAATTTGACATTTTAATTTTAATCTAATTTATTCAATTTTTGGTTAGTTGGTTGTTTTATCTTAGGTCTACCTTAAGGTCAGCTTAAAAAAGTACAGTAAATAGAAATTTCTGAATATTTTTTAAAACAATGAGCAAACATTTTGTCATTCCTGTAATATTTATGGAAATAACAGCAATACAAAAAACTTTTTTTCAGCAGATTATGGATAATAAAAGTAAACAATTAGGAATTACTGATACAAATACCTGTATCGGTCTGAAACTGTACTCAGAAAAATGTTCTGGTATTAGAAAAATGTTCTGGTATTATTATAATGTCAATACTAATAATAACAATTATTATTATTATTATTTGCACAAATGGAAAAAAATCATATATTTGTCACACTCTGGTTGGTATCAGATGGGGATACTTCAAATAAATTGAAATATATCCACTGATGTTACCAAACAGAAAAAAAAAACATGTAATTTCTGCCAATTTTATCAGACCATTAATAAAAATGTTCTAACTGTCTCAAAATTGTACATTACAGTATATGGTATAAATGTGATTATCATCTTCATAAATAAAACATGGCTGAAAATCCACAGGAAATCTATTAAAAATTCTGGTTTACAGAGAAATAGTTTGCCACAAAATACAGAAATACATAAACTCCACTAAAAAAATTATAAATAAATAAAATCCAAGTGAAAACTCAGCGAGTTCATGTCGAGGTGAACGGAGGAAAACGCACAGAAACAGAAAGTAAAACAACAGAGAAAAGCTTTTTATCCAATAGTTCTCTCTGATTAAACTGTATGTTTTACAAAGATAAATAGGTTGTAAAGAAAATATCTAAGAGATTGGCACTTGTTCTGTCATTACATGTGTGCGATTCAGAACCACGGTTCTTTTCACTCAAGCCAAGACGACAAAGATAAAACTCTCAGGATGACAGAGTGGCGTGTCCTCAACACTGTGTACCATACATGTGGTTGTACTAATCACTAAACATACTGTATAACCACTGATAAATATGCATCTGATTCATCTGTGAATGTCAGAAAAAAATCTATTTAATCTGCAGGATTCGTCAACAACAGATAATCTTGTTAACTTGACTGAGATGTTTGTCATTTTATCAAGTCCGGCAATAAATTGTTTTGTTCTGCTGAAATAACCTAACCGATATATCATATAACATAAGGGTAAATCACATAAAAAGACAAGTGAACAAGCATGTTTATATGCTCTAAAGCCAAAATAAGCACTTCTTTTCCCAAACTAGTGTTTTAGATTTACAACATATCAACAGAAAAGACCGACTGCAGCAAAAACCAGTTGAGTTTATTAGGTTGGAGGTGGACAGCACTTATTTCAGGCCTCAGTATCTGCTTTACGTTGAGTTGCCTGCAGTGTCTGTACAAACCTCATGACTGAGGTCAAAYTGAGTGACAGGAAGTGGGCGGGTGACGAGGGAACGAGGTTCTTGTCAAAAGCAGAGGACTTCACAAGCTCACACACAAAAAAAATTGACTCTTTTAAGAGCTGGGTCACTTAAAAACATGTTTAAATTCAAAAGAAGATTTCTGTCTCCATGCATGTATGGAAAAACGATTTTTACCTCAAAACTTTTAYGAGATATTTTGCTAACAGACAAAAATAGGGCAAAAATATTATTGCACACCTTGCCTTTCAGTGACAGGTGATGTGTAAGTTTTAGTTGTTCGTAGAAAAGAAATTAACTTGTGCAATTTTTAATTATACACCTGTCAGTTACAGCCTGTTTACAACAAATTAAGCTTCAACTAATTTTAAATAATCTTCCTCCAAAGACTTGCTGAAACAAGAAATAGCTAGGCAAAAACACAGAATTATATTATGTACCTAATATAACTGTGTGTAAACTGAACATAGTTAAGTTCCCAAAAAYCTGCTGTGTGGTTTTTATGGTTTCTGTTAATCCACGTTGAACCAAGATGACCCAGATTTTAGCAGGTCAAACTATAAAGGTTAGAAAACAAACTGAACTCTGCATATAATGTATGTAAATGTATATTAACTTCATCTCGCACTGTAATATCCTGATGGATTCAGTCCTTTAGAGTTTAAATTTTCTTGCCTTTGTCATTCAACAACACACTTTTATTATGGAAAGAAACAAAACGTACCAATAAGTCTCATATTCTCCAGTATTTAGACTCTACCACAGTAGAACAGTGTAATAATAAGATTGCTAGATTAAGAAAATGACACCTGCTCTGGACTACTTTTTAAATAAATCAACATAAGCTGGCAAAAATAATCAAACATAAACAGAAGTACTTACTTCTTGGACTGTGATGTTCTCAAAGTTTTAAAGCAGAAACTAAAAAAAGCGAGCAGTTCACAGAAAAAGCGCCACAAGTTTTGGGTTGTAAGTTTTTTTTCCCACCACCTTCAGCTCCACTCAGGCCCTAATCTGCTGTGCTATGTGCTCCACAGACCCATTTTAATCTCCTGCCCGCATACCTCCAGGTCTTTTCATGCACCGCGTCTCCATAGACACACTGCTGAAAAGGTCTGACCCTTCCTACGACAAACACCACTCCTGTCCTCCAACCTGCACGCTCAACTGGTGAGTTCTGATAACCAGCTGGATTTAAAACAAGCAGACTAGCTGCTGCATCAGCCCTGAGATTGATACGTAGCCTCAACGAGAAGGCGGTAAATGAGAAAACAAGCTGCAGCTGTGGATGAGTGAGATGTAAATCATACAAAACTTTTAGTTTGAAAATAAAATTGTTATCGAACACCATGTGTTTGTTAGCAAAATATCTCAAGTCACTTCAGGAATTTTAATGAAACATGCACAAAGTAAAGCATTGGATGTCCGTTTGCATCTGATTAAGGCCAATTCAAGATGGCTGCCAACATGGACTGACCTTAAAAAAATAAACAAAAAAAAATCTGAAATATTAGGGGCGCAACAACACATGTACCCRTACCGAACCGTTCAATACAGTGCTTTAGATTCAACACACACTTGTATCAAACAATACAGATTTTTAAAATCTATTTTATCAACTTGTCTTCTGAAGATGCTCTGTGTTGAAGGATCAGTGGATCTGTGTTCGACTACTCCACCTAGGCTGCATTGCCGAGCGCAGATTCACTGAGAAACTTGCTGTTTCAGCAATATTAAATTTAAAAACTGTACTTTTTAGGTTAAACAAATGATCATAATTACTTTAAATAAATTACAAGTTAAAAAGGGCATAGAAATTTAAATTATTTTGTATAGAAAAATATCGACCCGTGAGACTTAAGTATTGAACCGAACCAAATTGTGAGTTTTCTGTATCTTTGCACCCCTAATAAATAGCTACAAGTCAGTCAGTTTTACAAATATTAGAGTACAGTTTGATGCTGAAGAAGCTGACACTGATCCCCATCATTTATTCTGAGGGATAACAGATGGTGTAAGATCCTTTCTTAAAATGCTGCCACTACCTACTGGCTTCAACTGTGTCCATTTGTTAGCGAAATACCTCACGAATCATGAATCTCGTTAATAAAACACAACTCCAATTACAAAACACAAAGATGACTAAAACTCRGTCAATTTGACTGATATCTGTAAAGATCTGTATCCAATTCTTTTGGTCTGATAGCAAATAATCTCAAGCCTTTGGGCAGATTTTGAAGAAACCTTTAGGAAGTCATCATTGGATCTACATGCGATTAATTTTCGAAGTCAGTTTAAGACAACCGTGACAGCTAATCAAATTAGCAAAAACAAAAATGGGTATTACCCATTCCATTTTACAGATAYTGTGCTACAATGTGGCGTGGTAGTAGGTGAGGGTCATCCACGACACATAATGAGAATCACATCTCATGATTATCACATGTGATTAAAAATCATTTGACCAAAATGGGTACAAATGAGTCATTTCTCAACATTTAAAAATTCTTAGTTTAAAAATCTGTCTTCATAGGCTGCAGGTGATGCATGTTATTGTTTAAAGTGGAGAAAGTCTTCTTAAAATACATGTATTTTGATAAGAATTTATGTATAAGTGGGTGAATAGTAAAAGCAAGAAGTGAATAATTTAAATACAGCAATCGATGTGACTACATTTTGTTTTAGATAAAGGCTGACGAACACAAGAATACAGTAAGTTCTGTGCTGCTTAAGAGGAGCATGGCATCTGAGGAGCTCGCTGGGGGAAGCAGGGAGGAGAACAGCCAGACTGTGATGTGAAAGTCCTTATAAGGCTGCGGGTGAGGAAATTACCAGAAAGGAACTGATGTAAGCGCAGAAACCTTGAGTCACAACATGACTTCCTTGGGAAAATGAAGCATGGCCAAAAGCAGCCCAGTAAGGACCGAGTTTGTCATTAGTTATAGACAGTGGATTAAAATAATAATAATAGAAACTGAAGAAAACCTTTTTATAACTTTGTGTTTTTTAAGTCAGCTATAGTGGAGAAACTTCACTTTCACTGTAAAGTAAACTCTGGGCAGTTAGCTGAAAACTTCACTTCCCTTTTTTAATCACTTTGTCAGCTGAATGAACACGGTGCCACGAGTTTAAGAAAAAGGAAACAGACCACCGAGCATCAGGTTTCAAATCTACAGAAACATCTTTGTCAGGTGAATYCATTTCTTCTGCCCAGACGAATACCAGCATTTGAGCTGGCCAAAAATCACACAATGGTTATTATTACAAAACCACAATTCTATTTTTTCTATTTTAAACCATAGGAAAATCCTGCTGCTTCCTCTTTAACATCTATTCTGTCCACTGTTCCAGTTCCCTCTTTGCAGCAAAAGCACAGCTGCACCTCCTCTGCGCCTGTCAAACTGAGCTATCTGAAGTGTTTCTGTTTCTGCAGAAACCGATGCAAACCTGGCGCGCTAAAGTCAACACACAGCTGTAGGAACAAAAAAAAAAAAGGGAAAATGCCTGGCAACAGCAAATACTTGTAAAGAAACTTAGCTTAATAAATATTAGTGTAAGGAGTATTTCAAAAAGTTTAAACATTAAACGAGAGTAAATTCCTTTCATAGCTGACTGACAAAAATAGGTGTGTAACATCAGAGGTAACAATGCCTAACATTTTATTCTGGGTGACTGGCAGAAACAAATGTGGAGGAAGCACAGGCAGAAACAATACTACAGGAAGGGAGCAGGTACGGAACAAGGAGGCGATTCAACTAAAATTCTGTTTAAGTTCCACACGGTTTGCACGAAAACTGGAAATAAATGTAGCCTTTGTTATCTGAAACTAAAAAAAAAAAAACACTGACCTACAATTAAACTGGCTGATTAAATTAACACAAAACCATAACAGTTCAATTAAACTTAAYATTTTATTCCCTAAAAAATAGAAAGCAGAGCTAATCGTGCTTTTATTTGGCACAGCCTTCTTAAATGTTATATTGTTTGTGTGAACGCAATTTTATAAATCTTTACATCAGCAACATTTTCATTTTATGCTTCAAAACTAAATTTGAAAACTATAGGTAGTGGTGGGGGGTTAAATTTATTTTTAGATACATCACATTACAGTTTAAAAACTCTGTTGTCGATTTTTAAATGTCAAAAAAACATATTTTGTTACTGTAAGCCTGAGTAAGCAGAGCAGGTGCTGTGCGTTGCCATTTGTCCCAGTAGTTATTGTAGCTTCCTGTAACTGTTTCACATCTTGTCTTTACTGAACCCTAAAGAATATATGTAATAAATAGCTAAAGGTATAAAGTGTGTCTTTAGCAATGACTGAAATGATTGGACTGTGTACAAATTTCCAGTCATAAACACAATGCTAACTGTGGTAGCTTCTCTATGGCGTTTTCAATGTTAGGCTAGCATTTATGCTAACTGTTGGTGAGCAGTCTATGATTTAATGATTTGGCACATTAGTGTGTATTTATTTAGGCTTGGATCGGTTATTTCTGTAGTCCTTTAAGATTAAAGAGCAAAAAAAAAAAAAGCATCAACAATCCTTTTATAATCGCAGCACAGCTCCTTTGAATTGTAATCTAGTCAAATTTTAAAGCTTCCACTACAAATAAATGTTTTATTGTTTTTGCTAGAATGACAAAATAGAGCTTCACAAAACAGATGCGTTTCTAAAATTCCAGCAGTCCCCTTTGGTTAACTAGCTATGTGTCAATCTGGTCAAAACTAAACTTTATTTATATAAAATAAGATTATCCCAGGGGCTATCTACAACAGGTAAGATATTTACTGCTCACAGCCCATTTCTAAAGATKTGAACTTTTCTTTCAGGTCTGTGTTTGTGGTTATTTGGGAATAAAACCTGCAGAAAAAGGAGCATTTTCCTTTTCTCCCTTGCATTCAATATGTAATTTACAAATGCACGATTTAGGGGAAAGTCTTTATCAATGGAAATTTAAAAAGCTGGGTTTAAAACCACTTTTACCCCTGCCATCCAGTGATGATGACATAAGCAGAAATCATGGGCTTTTCCCTCTTTTTCCTTGACTTCTGTTTGCACAACAGACTTGTCTTTGTGTTGCCCCCCCTGTTTTTGCTTTTCTCTTTGTGCAGAACATGACCAGCTGAGTTTCAGTAAAGTTTGGGGKTTTTTTGCCTTTCATCCACAGCTCTAAGCACTACACTATGGGTAAACTAAGCTCTGAGTTTCCCATAGGTTTAAGCAGCACAGCTGGCCTGAGTTGACAGTTCAAATCCCTTCTTGTTAGAGAGCTGGATGTTTAAAAAAAAAAAGGGAGGCCTTGTTGTAAAAAGGAGGGCTAGCTTAGTGGCTACTGCAAGGCCACACTTCCGCTGAACCCCTCCTCCCTTAAAACAGTGTGTGATTTCAGGGCTTTACGCTGCGGGTTTAAATCTATAACGAAACATTTAAGTGCACTAAWCTAAATGCTGGATAAAGGATTTGATAAGAGGCGCTAATTTTAGTCAACCCAAACAGCGGGAGCGCGTACGCGCGCGCACACRCGCACTTAGCGGAAAGTACCAGTCGGGTGAGTTGAAAGGATTTAATTCAGACATTGTTAGCTTTACTTTACTATTTAGCCGCAGTGCTGAGTCAAAGAGTATTASGAGTCATTTACACAGAAGCTGAAACAAAGGCTGAGCTAAAACCACATCTATATTYAGTCTTACCGTTTTCGGCATCTTTCCCCTTTTTTCAGGTCCGGCTCGGGTTTATATTTATATATAAAAAGTTAGAAACGACTAGTTCGGCAGAAAACTTTATCCCATCAGAACAAACGCCCTCCCGGTTCCAGGACTGTGTAGACGCTAATTAAAAATAATAATAATAAATGTCGCTTTGAAGAGCTATTCTCAGGCCTGCGCTCCTGGGAGAGTCGCTCTTTGTTTCGCCTTGAAGTAAAAACGGARTGGTTTCCTGCTAACGGTACCCCTGCTGCTGCCGCCGCTAAAAAAGAGAAATAACCACACCCAGAGAGCGATGACAGGACAGCAGCCGGGCTGAGAGAGAGGGGGAGGTGGGAGGGAGGCTTCAGGCCGGCAGCTGACTCCGCCCGCCGCTGGAGCATCATCAGGTCAGGTCTCATTTATCACCAAAACATAAATAAATAAAAAAGTTCCCACAGTTTGAGCAGACACAACCATTCAGACTTTTACTTGTGAGAAGAACAGATGTGTTCAGGGACGTATAAAGATCTTGAAACTTTGGGGGCTTAGCCCAGAACAAACAGGCTTTCAAGCTTAAACCAGTGGGAGGATTTCAGGAGGTGTGAAGGTATTTTGTTATCAAACTAGGGTGATGGTACAGAAAAATGTGGTATGAGTCATGTGAGGTGAAGTGCCAGATTTCCAAAGGCTGCTTTGGAAATTGAAACATAAATATTCTGGGCTGTTCAGGAGGCCCCATAACTTTACTGAYGAGCATTCTGATCATCTCAGCTCGTTTAGAAGACAAACGGAGGAGGCAGAGGGAGCGGAGACATCCCCATCTGTAAACAAAACAAAAACACAGAGTAAGGTTACTCGCAGGCTCCTGTAAAGATGGGCCGGTGTAGCACAGACCGACAGCCTCAGGGACCAATCAGCTGCGGGTTTCTTCAGTCAAACAAATAGCTGGACTCCTTTCAGATTTATACTTTAGGTAACTTTATTATTTATTTTTCCAGACTCACGAGCTCCTCGCTGCAGATGAGGAAATGACTACAAACTTTACCAGCACAAAGACTCTCCTAGCCAAAAGCATGCAGCAGCATGGATACGACCATAGTAAGAGTCAGATTATTTTAAAACTTAAAACCCMCAAAAGACATAGTTTTTTTCTCTGCCTCTACTCCTGTAAATACTCACAAGCAGCCATTTCTCAGTTAATTATTAATTACTCAAAATGCCACATAACCTCATAATACCGCGGTATAAAAATAATCAACACCGCCCAAAACTATAGTTCTTCCCCCCCCCCTTTCTTTATCAGTAATTCAGACACTCTTATCTTTGTTTTAGGGCAAMATGAGATACATAATAGCATCAAGAAGATGATCTGTGTCCCAGTTCAAATCAAGTGGTTCCCAAACTATTTTTGCTCTTAGTTTTTTTTACTGTGACCATATTCAACATATACACCTTTGCATTTACTGTTTGTCAAAACCTGCCCATTGCTCTAGTAGTCCAAGCATTCAATTTTTTTTTATTATTCTGTCATACGCCCCCCACTTTGGGAATCACTTGATTAAGGTGTGTATCCTGAACGATTATAAATAAAATAATGAAGCAGTAATAATGTAAAAGAAAAGACAATTTATGATCAAAAAGCTACAAAGAAGTCATCTATTGTTTGATAGTATCAATATACATAAACCAGCTTATCTGGTCAGTGATGAAGCAGAATAACCTTTTATTTACATTATTTTAATATTTGACTTGATCTTCTGAACCTTGTATTAAAAGGGTTTATACATTACAAAAAGCAATACATGTCCCAGAGAGTAATGTATTGTAGTATTTTAGTATTGTATGTAGTATTGTAATCCAGAGGAATACAACTCAAATCTTGCACCTAAAGTAAAAACAGTATCTGGATCAGTTGRCTCAAAGTGTGTCATATGTTTAACCACTGTTTAGTTCCTATAACAAGGCTTCAGGCATCTTGACTTTTTAAGGGTGCAGCTGAAACTGCAGCCATTTCTAATCCTTGCAGGTGTGTTTGCACAAAAAAA